CTGAACTGGGTCGTATAAGTAACAGCTTCACTACTTACAGGTCAGACAGACCTAAGGGAATTCAGGGAGGTGGAATAGTTTTGTTGGTTAGAGACCGCATTAAACAGGCACCAGTCCTACCCACCTACGAATCCGAAAATGTCCAACTGGTAGCATGTTCCATAGGTTCTCCGGTAGTACTAACCCCGGTAGGAGTGTACCGAAGCCCTCGTACGACGCCGCCCGAAAACGTTGAGCTGATTAATGAACTTCTACACCTGATAAAGACTCCCCTCCGACTATGTCTCATGGGTGACTTTAACGCCCCAGGGATACACTGGGAAACCGAAACCAACGACGACCCCGGCTTCGAAAACCCATTACTAGAACTGTTGCACGAAGGCCGGCTCCATCAGCACATCATGTGGTCAACTGGATTCAGAGAAGAGCAAATCCCGTCGACCCTAGATCTACTGATTGCGCGGAGCGAAAACGAAGTCCGAAATCTACTCAGCGGGAATCCACTAGGAAAAAGTGATCACATCGTGATCTTATTCGACCTTATGCTGAAGGTTCCCGCATCACGAAGTAGGGTAGCTAGGTTATACAGTAAAATCGACCACGTCGCCCTTTTAAGAGACGCCCGTGAACTCAGTTGGATTACCGATGGAACACCAGGCACAGAGGGAGGGGGTAGTAGGAGGTCATCAAACAAGCATAATTAGATTGACGGATAGACACGCGCCGTTGGCAGAGTTAAAAAACCAAATACAGAAGCCCTGGTTTACGGCCAAAGTGCGTAAGGCGTTACGGAAACGCAACGCTGTCTGGCACAGATACACAGTGCTAGAAACATCCGCAAACTGGCGGCAGTGCACCAGGCTAGGAAACAAAGCGGTCAGTATATAGAGATCAGCCCGAAGTCAGTATGAAATAAAACTGGCAAGGGACATTAGAACACAGCCAAAAAGTTCTATAGATACCTCCAATCGCAAGCTAGGTCCCGAATGGCCATAGGTTCGCTTATGCGTTTAGGGACAACAACCCTAGACACGGACCAGGGTATTGTAGATGCATTTAAAGACCACTTTCAGACAATCTTCCAAGTAGAGACGATTGTAAACAACCTCACAAACGTGAATATTGCGGGCCCATGCAGCCCTAGCTGGATCATAGAGCACGGCGAGGTCCTATCTGTGACCTCTGGACTCAACTCGACGAAATCCGCCTGCCCAGACAACCTGCACCCAGGGGTGTTGAAACCACTGGCACCGGTAATCACTGAACCTTTGACATCACTGTTCAATCAGTCGATGTCAACAAGTATAGTGCCGGCCGACTGGCACAGAGCTACGGTTGCCCCCATTCACAAGAAAAGGGATGCAGCCAATATAGAAAACTATCGACCAATTAGCTTAACCAGTATCGTTTCCAAGGCGATGGAGCGGATAATAAGAAAAAATCTAGCAGAGCACCTAATAGGCGTGCACTTCTTTTCGAAAGCACAGCACGGATTCCTCAAGGGTTAATCCTGTCTGACCAACCTCTTGATATTTCTAGACGAAGTAACTAGCAGGTTAGACAAAGGAGAAGCAGTCGAACCTACCTAGACTTCCAAAAGGCGTTCGATTCCGTTAACCACATGCTGTTACTACAGAAATTAAGGGGTACAGGGGCTCTAACCCAGTCTACTACACGATAGCACATACCAGGTGAAAATACGATCCACGATCTCCAGTGAAGGAAAAGCGACCAGTGGTGTCTCTCAGGGGACCACTTCTCTTCCTAATATTTATCGACGACCTGGTCGAGGAGGTCGCAAATCCATGCCTCATCTACGCCGACGACGTTAAAATAGTTGGCGGCTCGTCCAGTTGTCAACCAATACAAGACGACTTAGACAGGCTCTCATCTCGGATGGTAAGATGGGACCTGCCTCTGAACGTAACCAAATGTGTTGTGGTTCGCAAAACCAAAGGGCTATCCTACGAAGACCGGCTTGGGAACCTGAACCTCTTCTCTATGCGTAGGAGACGTTTGAAACGAGACCTGATCGAAGTCTTCAGACAAATGAAGAACGCTGAACTAGGTCTCCTACCTCTGAGATCCACGAGAGATATTAATAGGCCATGAAAGTCACCTAGAAAAGAATAGAAGTAGGTTGGATATGAGGAAACATTTCTTTACCAACAGGGTGGTCAACTTCTGGAATCGCCTCCCAGGCAGACTCGTTCAACTGACCACAGTGCAAGCCTTTAATATGCAATTAGATGGAGTATGGGCCGAAACCTTTCCAGAAGTGACCTAAAACAGAAGGGAAATAAGCTCCCTCTTTTATTCTCCCCACCCCCACGTTTGACACAACGTGGTGCGCATGCTCAGCATGCACACGCAAGAGTGCAAGATTAAGTGTACGTAAGTCTCTCACCGATATGGAGAGAAGACAGTATGTTCCTTTTCTTTTCAGCTATGCCAATAACAGACGCGACTCCTATTGCACCCGAATCTCGCATCTTCGGACGGTCGCGGAACAATCAACTGTGCTGCAAGCCGGACAAACATACAGCTCGATCGGTCTACCGACGAGATCGAGCCAGAATCAGGACAACCATAAGGCTGAGGCCTCTACGTCCTGGAAGATTGGATTGGATTGAATTGTTTCCCAACTAATCCCCTTTACAGATATCGTACTGGAACCAGTTTCCTGCAGGAAAACAGTTGCAAAACAGCGAATGAAACAAGTTTGAAGCTTCGGGAGAAAGAGCATTCTACTGGAGCAAGAATCTGGTTGCTTTGTTGGCGAGAGTCTTTTCCATCCTGTGATATCTGACCTGACCTACACCACTTTTCAGAAAGGAAGTAAATTCTCTCAGATGCATTAACTCAGTTTCCAAGAAATGAACGCACCACCCGAAACATCTCAAAACGACAACTCAGTTTGCTGTGATTTATTGTTTTGCCTTGAGTTCCGTGTAGTTTATTGTCATTTTGGTTGAAATTTGTTTGTCTGTATCAGTAGGGTGCAATTCGCTATTAGCGGAGTTTTGAACCTGTCTCATAGGTTTTCGAGCAATGGTGAGTTCTGTTCGCGTTGTTCTTCTCCGTTTATGTTTCGAAATCGCTTTACTTGCTTTGCCTTTTTCGGTTTTAGGCTTCCGGTGTTAAGTGTCATCAGTCTTGTATCGATGCTTATAATGAGCTAAAATTGCGTAAGAACTGCCGCTATATTCTCTTCCACATCAAGAATAATGAAGAGATACAAGTTCTTCGTAAAGCGGAAAGAAGTGAGGTTTTTCATGCTTGATTTATTGAAGGTGCCACGTATGAGAACTTCGTTCAGGACCTTTTAGAAGCAATGGATCATGGTGAAGGACGCTATGCGGTTTACGATTACGAGTGTCCAGGGAAGCTCCCTACACTCATTTTTGTTTCATGGTGAGTTCTTTTGGGATTCTTCATTGACGTATATCGAGGAATCCATCATCTTTGACAACGAAAACTAAGATGGTCTACGCCGCCTCCAAGGATGCCATTCGTTTGAAGCTGATTGGAATCAAACATGAAGTTGAAGCGAACGACTTGGACGAAATTGCAGAAGAGGAAATGAGAAAGAAGGTAGAATGAGAAGTTCCAAGCGACGACATTTCCAATGTCTTTATGCCGCGAAAAGTCATAAGGATATTTGCATTTGTTTCTCTCAAATTATTTTCCTGACTTTTGGTCCATAAGATGTGGTCGCTCGAACTAGCTGGAATATTTGAACATCTCTTTGTACACAAACTACTTTCTCCCCAATGCATTGAGCTACCTGTCACACTGAAATTTTTTTGTCTTATTCGAGTATCGGTTTCCTGTATAGCAATCCAACTCCCTTGTCAAGGTAAACTAGCGTTTCTTATCTCCTGACGGACGTTATGAGAACCTACGCTGATTTTTCGCTCTCAGTGCGTTTAGTTGGTAACTTGTCTCGATCCCTAATTTATACCCAATGTTTCAAATTACGATAATCAGCTTGCGGGCAGAAAGCCTTCTGCATTTATACTAGTCTTAGACGTGATTTATCGTCAAGACTGTCATCATTTTTGTTCGAAACGTAGGGCATAGGAAAGAGGCAAGTGCTGTATGGGGTGGGAAGTCTAGATATCCGTTGCATTATTTCTTGCCAATTTGAATTACAATATACTAGTCTGTGCTATTCGTCATCCACAGATTTGTTTGACCAGTAATTAGAGCAGTTTTCAGCTTTTTCCAGTTTTAGGTCGTTCTTGGTATGTACGTATGGACAACCGGTAGATGGCATTCTGGAATTGATGTAGGTCAAATACAGTATGCACTTGAAGCTGTCGCTTCGATGAGAGCTTCGTAGATGTCTTTTCGGGTGGTGCCTAGGATTTCACGAAGGAGTCTGAGCTCCACACGCGGTCGTTCCTCAAAATTGTCGCTGGTGCTTTAATCGAACAACCTTCTTGGTGCCAGCGTTAAACCGGCTACTGTACGTTTATTGTTCGCGCGCAAGTGTACTAACCCCTACCCAATGTATACCCACAGTTTTCCAAAACATCCGGTAAGTATGCAGCCATGACCCTTAAATCCTCGTCGATTAAGCTGGGGCACCTTAGACCGGATAACAACTCCACTCATTTGACTGGCACATCTTTCCACCCTTGATACCGTCTCATACTTCGCCATAGATGGGTTCTGGGCCATTACTTAAGTTTCCTGATTGCCGGGAGGAGTGTTGCTTCTGAGTCAGCAGATAGATCGTATCATAGTAGCCACTTGTCTGCGAATTTATATCCAGCTACATGCACCAGAGAACCTATTAAACCACTGCTCCTTGGGTGCAGTGAATGCTGAGATCTTCCGGGGATAGTGTATTTATCACTGCGATTCGTAGTGTTCTGCTTTATAGTTGCGAGACATGGTCGCTATGCGTTTAGGATGCTAATCGACCTTGTATTCGACGACCGATGTCTCCGAAACATTTCTCGTGTCTGGTGAGAGCGTCGGATGAACAATCATGAGGCTGGCGCTCGCTGCGGGTAGTCGTTCTCTGGAGGAAGTAATCGCTGTACACCGCCTCTGATAACCTGGTTTCGTTTTGTATATGTCCGCTCGCCGTCCACCCTTCCGTGCTTTCTTTGCATTTGCTGGGCAAGACTAGAAGAGACATCGCGGCGACCAGATCACAACGCAGCGTGGCGGTATGAAGAAGCTGGCTTCGTTTGGTGCAGCCTCCACGAGGTTGGGACCCAAGAGATGAGATTCGTCGTTGGGTAGGGACGCTAAGAAATTTGACCCAGAATAGAAGTCAGTGGCGCCAATCACGCACGGTCTGCCCGTTGAAATCCCATGAAAAAACGACCTAACGAAAATTTCCAAAAGGGACGGCAAATCGAACAAAAAATTATTATTCCTACCTTAATTCACCGTAATTGTCCAATCTCTTCGTCCTGTTTTGTGTACCCCAGTCCGCACATGTGCTATTATTGTTGTTTCCTTGGCACCGTGCTTATTAGATACGTCATATCGCTGATTCGTGAGTAGAAGGTATGAATTTTGCTCAGTCTGTCGAACTATCACTGTAAAATCCATCGGTGATGCATGGTATGATAGATTGGTTCTCATCAACGACCGTATGCCTCTGACTACATTTTTACATACGAGCCTCTGCGCTTTTCAGTGATTATGGATGGTTTGTAGATTCGTTTGTGTATTATGCCCATCTGCTAGAGTTCAACGTTGAGGGAAAAACGTGTCAACAGATGCTATGGAGTCTCAACCGGGTGGAGTTTGTAATCGGTGGACCACTCAATGTGAATCACGTTGGAACCGAAAGCACTGATGTTCGTTCATAACTACACAGAAGAATGATGAATATTTGGTGTTTGGAGAACGTACAATTTTCCGTTTTTCGGTCCGGTCACTGTCTGAGTTTAACTTCGAGGTCCAGCAACGAAACTTTTTATCACCGGGTGACAATGCCGCTCATACAGTTAAAGAAAGATGTTGATGAGCACCATCAAGACCGACACTGCGTACTCCTGGACTACAAACAACCGTAACCCAGCAAAAATCAGATCTGACTGTTCGTGGATTGCCGACGATGTCCATGAGATTCAATTGGGAGATAATCGCTGCAACCGGTAAAATCATCAATTGACCGCCAGCTGTAAAGTTGAATCGTGGACGCGTGGCTTTTGGCTGTCAACACTGATGTTTGGGTATGATACCAGATAGATTGCTCAAGTGTCATCTGATTTTATCGGGATTCCTTGTTTACATGCTCCAATGAATGCGTCAAATCCAGGTTGTATTAGTAGTAATAATCAACTGA